TTCTCGTATGGCGCCCCCAACGCCCACAGAGGCCCCTCAGGCCAGCAGGGACCCAGTGGCCCAGTGGCAGCCTGGCTCTGCAGCCACGCTCCCCCACAGAGAGGGCTCGGAGCTGGCCCAGGCCGCCAAGCTCAGCACCTCCCAGGAGTCCCTGCTGGACTCGCGAGGACATCTCAAACAGAGCAGCAACCCCTACGCAAAGTCCTACACGCTGGTATAACAGCAGGGGCACCTGGGGCGGGACTGGAACTCACTCTTACACTGGACTTAACACTCAAGTGCAGTAAAATGACTTTCACCACGCAGTTCTGTATATATGTCCCCTCCCTCCAAGGGCGGGGTCACTTTTACTAATCTACTTTTATTTATTTTAGAACTTTATTATCTCGTTTGTAATTCTTTTTTTTTCTTTTTTTCTTTTTCTTTTTGTTTCACTTTCACAGAAAAAATTCACTCATCGGAAACGACTCCAAACGGAGCTTTGCCAAACTAATTGAGTAACGAGGGAGCGTTATTTATTCTTCATTCTTGTTAATTCTTTATAATTAATCAGTGATTATTAATTGTTAGTTGTCAGCTATTAATGATCATTAATTATTGATTACCAAATGATCTGTTCTCATCATTGCTAAGATGTTTTCATAAGAAGCCGGACATCTTTTGTTTCTGGAGTGGAAGATGACGATTTGGAGTCATGTTTTTTCCTATGGAATATCCTTCTCAAACACTGAATGAAACTTGGGAGAAATCTTGGAATGAAAGCAATTAACACCAGTCCAAACTTTTCAGCTGCTCTCCAATTGTTACTTTTTTTGAAGAAAAAAAAATCTATTTCCTATGGATGCATGGGGACTGACCAATTAAAAGACAATGAGGATTACGATCGTGGCTGGACAGCCCAGTCGAGCATTTTGTCACACTATGAAATGATCCAATGTGAAGATTTATTATTCTTATTACTATAAATATATATATAAAAAGAGAAATCACTTTTATTTGTGGATATTACAGGGAAGAATTGATTTGGTTAATAAAGTCCTTAGTCATGTTTGCACATATCTTGTTTTAATTAGGAAATGGAGTCTCTGTTGATCTTTCTCTGTGTCCCATTCTCTGATGGTGCAATATGAAAAAAGATATGAAAAGTATATGAAAAGAATTGCTCTATACTGTACTGTAATGATGAAAAATAACTATGTTGTGAGTATACTTACAGGGCCGGACACACTCCAGCTATGTATTCAGGTGTAGTTTACCACTGCTTGTTTGCCAGGGTGGTAAATGATGTTAGCTAGAACAGGGAGGGTTTAGAGAACTGATGGTTTGCACTTCACAACACCCCGACTCAAGTGTGTCCAGATAGATCCCCCTGCTCTCAGTGCACTAGGTAGAGTCTCCAAGGCTCTCACTGTCCTCAGTAGATTTACTGTTGCTGCATTGCAGTGATGCTCCTCTACAGGGAAAAAAAAAAAAAACGTGAGACAATCCAGCAGAATCCCCCCTTCAAACCAAACCTATAATGTCTATGGGAAATATCTAAAAAAAAAAAAAAGTGGATATACGTAAGAAGCTGTTTTTTGTTCCTGTCTGCCCTGGCCCATTTCTGTTCTTTCTGTTTCTTTGAGTTAGCCTGAAGGGAGAAGAGTTTGATCCAAAATGCTGTGAGGTCATTCTGTCAGTTTCTATGATTAGTTTCTATGATTAACTGTCTTCATTATGATTATACATTTTAACAAGGTAAAAAAACAATGTCACTTTTTATTTTTAACATGAGTGTTCACCATGGTGGCACTGGAATAAAGAGTAACTAACACAAAAGTTCAAATTTGATTAATAAAATGGCTGTTCCCCAAAGTGTCCTCCACGGCTTTGACATGAGTGACTGATGGTTGGTGTGGAGATGAGGCGGACGCACGGAGAGCGGGTCCAGGCTTCGCTCTCCGGCGGTCCGTTGGGTCGTGAGTGTCAACAGGAGGCCCTAAATAATCGCTGCAGTTTCATCCCGACAGCGTCATCGTCTTGAAGGCCTCAGAGAAGATGGTTTTCCAGCGTCGCTCAGTACAGTTTGTTCATCCTCTGTGGCTGTGTAGCTGTCGTGCCTGCAGGTGGCAGTGTTGTCCAGAGTTGTGTTGCTCACTAATCCATCGTCTTCCTTTAACTTTCATCTCTAACCCCACCTCCTGCTAAATTGCTTCCATGGTTTTAGATGACAACACAGAGGGTTTAGCAGAAGGCCACATTACTCAGCATGACAACTGTATCTGCCATCTCCCTCTGAAGTCCACAGCAAATTAAACATGGTGACAGAGATTTACTTCCCCCCCCCCCCAACACTCGGTGGATAACGCTGACATAAATAAGGTTCAGGCTGAACCGGAGTCTTCCCTCAGAGAAGTTTGGGGGAACTGACTCTGAGAATCTACAGAGCTAAACATGGATCCATGTCTCAATGAGCAGTGTGGCTTCTTGAGCAGATTGCAATAGACAGCTGCTATTGTTTCTAGATTTTGGGTATTAGTTTTTCACCCACATATGTATTGACCTATAAATGATTGTAAAAATCTGGTACAGAAAAGCTTCCAGTCATCTTCTCTTTTCAATTTAAAAGACAAATGCAGTCCACTCATCAATGCACACCACATACACAACATACGCTGTGTTGATTTCCTGATTAATTTAGATTAAAAAAGTTAGAAATATTCAAGCAGCAAGTGTGGTGTCATGTTTGTCCACAGTGGACGCAGTGGAAACACTTCTTTGTGGATCAATAGATAGAGCAGGTCATCCGCTATCCAAAAGGCCGGCGGTCCAATCCCGCATCCTCCATTTCGTGGGCCGAAGTGTCCTTGGGCAAGACACTGAGCCCCAAATTATCCCTGATGGCTGTGAGGGCAGAGTGATGTGTGAGTGAGTGTTGCACATAGATGCACTGTATGAATGTGTGTGTGTAGATGGTCAAACTACTGTAAAGAGCTAAGTGTATAAAGCTCTATATACTGAACATACAGACCATCATGTGGATGGTTTCACAAGACTGTTGTGTTATTACTTTACTTCTAAATCTGATCTTGGACACTGATTTTTTAAAGCCTGCTTATTTAGCCACCCTACCCCCATCCTCTAAGAGCTATGTTTCCATGGTAACAATCAGGGACACCAAACGAGGAAAACCTGGCTCATCATCTGTTTCGCTCACAGTGTAGTGGAGTGAGTAAACTGGTTCCAGGTTCATAATGCAGCAAAATGTAAGTGGAGGAGCTCACAGGATGTGGACAGGCAAGATGGACGACTTGTTCAAGAGTCAGAGCTGTAATAATCTAAACTGGACCAAAGGGGACGTACATCAGGACACTCACTGCTGTGGGGTGAAAAAGCTTCTGTCTGCATTTTAATACTTTAAATGTCCTCAAATCAATAAAAATTTGCAAACGTGCAATACGCATGTAGTCTTCTGTAAAAACTGCATGAGGACACATTATTGTCTCTATTAGGATCTAACTGCAGTGATTACAATGATCTCAGGTGCATCGCAGTCATTATAGGATCGTGTAAGATTGTCCAGCAAATCTAAAATGTCAGTTTAATAATTTGATTTAAATATCCAGCCTCTTGTTTGAGAGACTTATTAACAGACAGATGATGTACAAATAGTGAATCCTTGAAAATCTGATCAACTGCACCCACTGCACACACAGTAGGCTACTCTAATCTTATGAAGCTTATTATTATTATTATTATTATTAATATATCTTCTCTCATGTCCTGCCTTGCTCTGTATGTGTTTGTCTGTGGACAGATTTTGTCCCAGTAAACTTCACAAACGTGCAAGATGCAGTCATGAAACGTCACAGATGTGAGGCAGAGATCAAAATGAAGACTTGAAGATTGGTACGTTTTGGTCTGATCAGTGACGGCTGAGTGTTCATGTGAATAAACACGGTGATTACATTGTATGTAAGCTAGTAAGTGATACAGGAGGTACCTTCCTCTATGAGTTAACAATGGTCTTTACCACACTGTCACATTCATTCATTCACAGTCCTGATGTCACCAAGTCTGACTTCTGATCTTGTCTGAACCAGTCACTGAGTGAATTCCATTCTGAAATATCATTTCTATTCTATGTGACCCACCTCCCCATCACCACTTTGACCTGTATGATGTCCAGGGACACATCTGAAATGGTTTTAATCAACCACCCGCTGCTGAGCCAGTCCTGACCTCATGGGGCTCCTTAATCTATTAACCTTGTGATCCATTTTCAAAGATAAAATGCTTTTTATGGCTCAGCTGAAAACATGATGGTTATTGTTTACATATTGCTCAGTATGACCAGCTAATAGATATTTGGAATATTCACTGTCAGTCCATCTCTTTCTATCTAGCATTATTGCAGAAACATTGATGGAAAGACTAGATAATCATGGTTTTATTTTAAAATGACGTGAGGAGTGTCATTGTGCCCGTATGCTGTTTATCCTGCAAAAATCTTCCCTGAACTACAGTTTAGAAACACAAAAGCCTGTTTTTGTTCATCAAATTGAATCATTCGCTGTATTTCAGTATGCAGTTTAGTGTGGATTCTTTACTATGCACAAGATCACAGAACAGCTCAAGTAGCGTCTTTGTGACCAGATTGATGTTTTATGTCCTAATTGAAGTTGTAGCCCAACGATACACCAGGGGGAAGGTGAGGCCCTTGCATATTTTTCAGGGGCCCAGCAAACTTGTTTAGTGAGCGTTCAGGGCCGTCTGGCTCTGTTCCTTGTTGGACATTTCAACTACTCTTGTGTGCCCCCCTCCACAGAAGCCCGAAGCAGGTGCTCAGTTTGGGTCCATATTTCATGAAGGTGCTTCACATCGATGAGATTGATATTGATTTTCATCTCTAAAATTCTGTTGCTTCAATTTTTTCTATTCAGTCACTTCATACTGAAATTTCTGTCTGACTCGCTGCAGCCTAAACAGAGTGAAATGAGAGAGTAGATCAACTTGCACTGCTTTACAATTCTTTATTTGTTTCTCTGTGTGTGTGTGTGTGTGTGTGTGTGTGTGTGTGTGTGTGTGTGCGTGTGCCTCCGTGCAAGCTTGCATGCATATGTGTGTGTGCTTGTACAGTATACAGTACACGTGTGAGCCAATTGAACAATGATATTGATTAAATCACACTGGAACACAAACAAGGACAGAAACACAATTGGATTTCAACCACAAGCACAAACATCTAGAGTCACACATGTTGGCGAATTAGAAACAGTGAATAGATTTTAAAAGCATCAATCATACAGAGTGGAAACGAGACGATTTTACCAGCCAGAGGGAAACCTCCAGTGAAGCCCGACATATTTTGATTATGATGTTTTACCAAGATGAAATCATGAGCTGAGTTTCAGTGTCAATCACAGAAATGCACGTGGCTTTAAATTACCCCTGAATTAAGGAGAATAAGTGACATTTTATGATGTTTGTTCTGTTTACATGGTTATATTACACTGAATGTGCCATAAGAAACACCAATATCAGCTCAAAGTGTGACCCAAGTAAAAAACTGGAAAATGATACAGAAATTAGAGGAAAGATTTAAATACATACACCCAGAATTTGATCATGTATCATTGTCGTAAATAATAATCATTTTAAGTTATACATTTTGCACAGACTTTCACAAAGATACTGTTTAGCCCCCCCACCTTCAGGAATCCCACCCTCCACCCTTCCCTCTCAGTTCATGACAGTGCAGTTTTGGTTGACATGCAAGACCAGGCCCAAATTATGTGAGGACGCAGCGGACCATGTTCGCTCTACGACTTCACATCCTGCTTCTTTTTCTGGAATTTCCTAAACTGCGACTGGATGGCGACGGCAGCCTTCTCCGTCTCGGGGTCCTTCATGTCGATGTCGAAGTCCTCCGGCACGTTGTTCTTCTTCTCATCTACAGAGAGGACAGGGGCGAGAAAAAGTCACGACTGACGTGTCTCAATTGTACCTTAAGTGTCAGCTCAATGATTCAACAATTGAGGGATCATGCTGTTTTCTCTGCTCAGAGATGAGTGCTGATAAGATATACATACTGGGAGTTATATGTTATGCTCGGATTAATTAAATAACCAGTTTCCAGCTGAGGAAATGCGTAGTGCACCCATTTATCTACCTTCTTCAGAATATTGTGAGGATTCATATTTCGAGACGATTACATTTGAAGTTCTTGTCTTTCTGAAAGAAGACGTCTTTTGCGTTGCATCCTTCCTCCACCTGACTTGCAGCATGCAGCTAACTAGTTTAAGTTTGTAGCATCTCATTCACGGTTTAGAGTTGGACCAGCTCAAAGACTAGATTTACAAAGTCAAGCCAATTAGGAATTAGAGAGTGCACTTGTTATTGTGTATCATATGTAAACGTGAACATGTTCATCCTGATCTCAGACCCAAACATAAAGTTGACTTGCTTTAAGCTTTTAAATGCTTAATATGATGTAGAACACAATAAGGTTAAAAAGTACTTTACAAAATACATGTGAATAACACAACACAGAGCAAATCAAGACAAATATCCGAAATACAACATAATAATCTTTTCAGGCAAGGAATTCCAGAGTGACTGGAACGGCACATGCATAAACTGAGGAACTATTAGTAAGGGTTGGTTGGAGGATCTTAGATTCCAGCTTGGAGCATATGGAGTTAGTATCTCTGTAATATCACTGGAGGCCAGACCGTGCTGAGTGTCTTCTGTTTTCATGCCAAATAAGTTATCCCATATTTTTGTTCTACATTTGTTATTCTTATCAGAAAGGAAAAGCATAACCTGTTCAAACAAAGGCTAAATAATATCTGGTCTATAATACAACAATTATTTTACCGAACACAAACTCTCTTCAAATTAAACTAAAAAGTATTTGCAGGATTTACAGACAGTTTACTCTGTTGGAGAATTAAAGAGGGACTTTGTTCAGGACAGTAGAGAAATCAAGAGAACTGCTCTCCACAGACAAGATGTCAGTCTTTAATCACACAACACAAACTCCTCTAATCCTGCATTTATAAATAAACTGTCATCATCTTCATACAAGCAGCAGATCATTTGATATTGTCAGACCACTTGTGTTACTCCTCACACTGTCCCCTGATCCTCTGAACAGATCGAGACATTATCATTTGCACTGTCAGTGTTCAAGTGGCAAAACAGTGAGTACAAGACTGAAGTCAAGTCGGCGTGGAGCGACTCAAACACGTGCGCTGTGCAACTGACACAAGTGGAAAGGTTGTGCTGCAATTCTTACTGTAGAAGAAGGAGACACAGGAAGACAAAATTGTGTTAGCTGTGTCCAATTTCAGGGGCTGTGTCCTCAGAGGATGCGGTCTACGCGGCTCATTAAGACTTGGTCTTCGTGGGCCGCGTGGACCACACACCTGAACTGAGAAGGTCTGGTCTACAGGGGATTTCTGCGATCTGCGTCACCAGCTCGTCCCGCCCTCACTGCTGTCGCCTAGCAACAGAGCTGCAGTTGTTTTTTTTTAACACGTTCCCTGTTAGCCGTTCGGTTGAGCCGAAGCCTCGGACGTCTCGTGACTAGACAGCGCAATAACCCTCTTAAAAAATGTTTGTTGAAGCGCAGTGAATTCTGGGAGGGATCCACCCGTTGGAGCCTTCGCTTCTCGAACATGAAAGGACGCATCTGTCGGCCGCATTTGCAGGAGCCATCGAAATGGGACAGTCCGGCAGCGCCACTGTGACGCAATCGATCTTCAAATGAAACCCAACGAAAGATGCAGCCCCTGATTTGACACACAGCTCAGTGCTCCCTAAAGGTCAGGAGTTTATTCAAGCAGCACAGTCGTCATGCAGTACAGTGCTCCGTGCATGATGGTGCTGACCTGACGTGCAAAGTGTGCGCTCCGCCATAAACAGCGATTTTTCCAAGTGACCTACTTACGTTTAGATGGAACCTTTGGTTGACCTTGAGGCCCTTGGATGACACACGTGACAGTGAAAACAAATTCATATTTCATGATTGCAGAAGCCACACAAACCTCTCTGTCTCTCCTCTACACACACACACACACACACTTTCTCAACACTCAAACCTGCCCCGTAGGGTCGATACCCTTTACACCACAGAGAGTGACTTCATGAGCCAGGAACATCACACTCTCAGCAATGTGCTGTGCTGCAGCGCGAATGAATCATATTGCCACAATGGATGATGGGATTATTTCCATAAGAGGTTTGTGAAAGGTCATGTTTAAATTGGTTCCTGTGAGATTTAAGGAAACCTGAGAGTATGCGGACAATGATTGATGACGGCTAGAAAAAACCACACAGACACGACCTGTGAAGCCAATCAATGAACACTGAACCACAAGTGCGACTCTAAGTGGGAACACGTCTCCCTCGTGTTGTGTGGTCATGTGAGTTGGGGGTTTTAATACCGACATGATGCTCTCCAGGTGATTCCACATGTTATAGCTCCCTTATCAGAGTTGGCCTGTGAGCCAGTTGGCAGGCAGACAGCAGATAATTGCTTTTTAGACTTTCATTATTTTATGATGACAACAATATTTCAGTCCACAAATTTTCCTTTTCCATTTTTAATTGAAGATTTTTCATTTCAAACCTGGAACTTGTGTGCACTGATTTTGTATAATTGCTTCAAAAAAAATGGAGAATGTTAAAGGATCAACTTTGTATCATCATATTGACACTCAGTTAAGGTAAACAGGGAAATGAAGAAACATGTTGATTTAATAATGAAATGAATGGAATTAGAATGTGTATACTTTAACATTGTAATTCTAAACTTACAACTTATTCTAAAATAATGATAATAATAATAAGTTATAGCACTTCTCTTAACAGTGCTTCACGAAGGGATAACAATACAATACGTCTAAATCTAAATTCACACAGAGATAAAAGTTTTTTTATCCGAGCCTGTGTAATACATGTGTATAGAGGTTTACAGAAATGTGGTCAGAAAAAGATAAAGACCTGGATAACCCTGTGTGACTCCTCAAACCAACATTGTTCTCACGAAGACCAGAATCTGATATAAACCTCAGATTTCTTACAACTGGTGATATTGCTCCAAACAAAAAATAAAAAGTGTCCACAGTGTGATTTATTTCTTTATCCCACCAAAATTCTAATTTGTTCCCTGACCTTCTCTTATCCTCCAGTTAATCCATTGCATGTTTTCAAAATATTTGCACTATAATCTGCAGGCTGTGATCCAAAGTGCCACTGTACAATATAAACAATCCGAGCTGGATTTTACTGGAGCTGCCACACGTAAACTCATGAAGATTTACTGCTCGACAAACATCTCCTCTTTTCTATATAACACATATGACAACTGGATTTGTCTGCAGAGGGATATCATGTCTGTTTTAATATATTTGATGTGTGTGATCACTTGTTGTACCACCCACTCCCTCCTCTCTCTAATATCTAATGCCTATAATATTATATTATATTGAGAAATGTTACTGTATGATGCAATAAAATGATTGTTTATAAAAGTATGTATACATTAATTAGACTGAGTTAAAGTTGAGTAAAAACTCAAAACAACAGAAATTGGAGAGAAATGGAAAGAGGTAAAAAAAAAAAAAAAAAGAGGGCACACGTCAAATGAATGCGATTCACGCCTCGATCAAATTCAATGAAGCGTCCTAAAATCTTTCCCGATCTCTGCCGGGGTGTTTCCTGCGGACTGAGCCTGAGCCGCACTACACTTCATCATCCCAGAAGTTGGGACAGGAATCCATTTCAGTTCGGCTCCTAACAGTGTTATCAGCAGCCCCAGAGAGACGAGAGGTGACACGTGGTCTCCAGGTACACAGGAGCAGCTGCTTTATTTGCTGAATGGGTGTGTGGAGCCATTTAACAGTGAACAGGCTCCTATTAACCTGCTGCAGCCATTGTGTGAGGAGGAGATTAGTCCGATTCCTCTGTGTGTTGCATCGCACGCTGCCATGAAACCTAAGTTTTAAAGGTGCAAACTGCAGGAAGTGCTTAAAGGATTAAAAGTATCTTAAAGGTTCAGTGTGTAGAATTTTGTGAGATCTAGTGTTGAAGTTGCATGTTGCAGCTGAACACCCCTCACCTCACCCTCTCCTTCCAAACATTAAAAAAAACCTGTGGTAGCTTCACTTGTCATAAAAACTCAAAAGGTGTTTAGTTTGTTCAGTCTGGACTAATGTAAAAAACATGGCAGCCTCCATAGAGAGGGTCCTCTCAATGTAAATATAAAGTATTTAAATATAAAGGGCCTTTTCTGGGGTAAAGAAAACTACAATTCATATAATTTAGATTAAATRAACTAGTGAAAACATCATGAGGATTACTCTACACTAAATGTCTGACAATAGTTCCCTTTCACCTAAATATTCCACACTGGACCTTTAAGTAGAGAAACCCACATCCCATCATGATAAATGTATATTCATCCTAGTGAGACTCATTCATTCTGTGAAGCAGGGAGGAGAATGTCAAAGTGATTCTCGAGCGTCTCTCCTGAGCTGTGGCCGTGAAAACAAAGCAGTTCACTGGTCTGAGGTTCATTAGAAACAGCCCTTTGTTCCTGTTTCTTCTCATTTTTGCCAAGATGACAGTTCTGCACTTAACACCATTTATGAATTTCAAAGGGTCCTGCCAAGTACAGCGAGTCCAATTTCACCGTTTCTAACTCAAGGGATTTGAATTACATTATTATGCCAAAAATACCATGGCCTAGTTTTCAAAGTAGGTCTTCCTGTAAATTGCTACCATGGTGGAGGAAACCATAACCACTGAGGTGTGTTGGTCCTCCGAGGAGAACAGGAGAGAGGCGTGTTCAAATCTATTCTTCTGTCTGATTTTCTAAATGAATGAGTGATCTTTATAACACTGATATTTTACTCAGTGTGTGATTAAAATAAATGTCTTCAATATAAATATTTTATAAAAATCAGTGTTGTGATTCCCAAAGCTCTTACATCTCTGCCCTTTAGCGTAAAGACCATACCATTTGGGAATCAAACATAAGGGTCACATTTCCATTGAGTTTAGAGACTCAGGATCACAGGATCAGCGCCAACTCCAGTTACATTATTCTGGCTTTGATCCAAAGTGACTCACAACTTTCAACATCTATGAGGGGCCATTCAGGGTTCAGCATGTTGCCTAAGGACACTTCAGCATGCAGATGCCTGGGATTCAACTGCTAACCTTCTTGTTGGAGTGCGACCGCTCTACCCCCTCAGACGAAGCCACCCAGTTCTATTTACTTTGTCATTTTGCAGCTTGTTTACAACTCTTGCCTCAGTAGTACTTACAATAAACCAGTGGTAGGAATCAACAAAGTACATTTACTCACTAGGCCCAAATTTCAATTCATAGTACTAGTGCACTAGTCTAACAGGATAGAACTGTGACACTGATTGGTTGCTTACTATTTGATAGTGATTTTGTGTTTCGTTTCTGTGTGTGTGTGTGTGTGTGTGTGAGAGAGAGAGAGAGAGAGAGATACTTTGCTGTGAGCCAATGGCTGTGATGTGTGTGTTGATTGAAGGCAGGTGCCTCCACTCAGTAGTTTATTCATGTCACCTGCAACAAACACTGCGGTCCCTCATTTCCTCCTGAGTTTCTCTGTGTGCAGGTATGTTGTGCACGAGACACTGAACCACATGAATATTGAAAGGGCTCGCACCTCATCAGCTAAGGGGAGTAGGATTCCTGAGAGACTTAAGTGAATATGTGTATAGTGACCTCTCAGGTGCTTGTGTGGTCGTCTGTGTGCAGGTCCATGCCACACAGTGTTAAGACAGAGTTGGGCTCTTTAAAGGTTTATGGTGTTGTCAGCCTTGTCCTCAGTGATGATTTATTGAAGACTGTAATCAAGTGATGTTGAATATCTATTCTGAGGAAGCAACCACCCTGACCTTTGCCCCCCCACTGTGACTCTGACTGTTTCCTCCTTTCATTTCACCAACTCAAACATAAGAACATTGCCACAAGCCCAGATGCTCTCCCCTCATTTTAGTATCCTGCATGTTTATTAAGTAATCCGAGCTTTTAAACATATCCAGTGGTCCTTTGAGGCTGGTTGGTCAAACAAAGAACCTTCTGTGATATTTAGTTTACTTTCTTCACAGGGTGGTGGAAATGTTGTGGCTACACTTTACTCCTCTGCTGATGATGCACACATAAAGTGCAGTGATTCGGGGGCTTTTGAATAGGAGTTTTACTTGTAATAGAGTATTCTTTAAATTGTGTTATTGCTAATATGATAATACTTCTTCCACCACTGCCATTAACCATAGTATTAAGAATAGAATCAGAAAGTATAGGACTAGTTATTGTTGTACAATATAAATATTGGATTTAAACATTTTGTTGCATTCACTCATGGGGTTTGGGAGGTTTTCATTCTCTTGAGTTACTATCAGTGTATTGATAAGATGTGAAATCAACGGATCAGTAAAACCAGTTCAGTAATTCTACTACTACTACTACTAATAATAATAATAATACTAATACTAATACTACTACTAATAATAATACTAAATAAAAACAACAATGATGATAATATCAGTAATAAATGTGAAACATGATAATGGCATTCTGCTGTTGCATGGTAACACAAGAGTTAAAAAAATTACCTGGAGCTTTATAAAATATTAAATTAAGAATATTGTAATAATATATTGTATTTGCATTGTATTTAAATGAATTGGGGGGAGGGGGTTTCAGACTGGTGGTCAAAAATACCTTGGCCAGCAGATGGTTTGCTGTTTCCAGTTGTTGCTCCAGATGCTTGTCTCTGCAAAGACAACAGAGAAAAACATCCTCATCAGAACATTACATGTGAATAGGTGAGAAAAAACCACCTTTCCTTTGTTTAGAATGTGTTTTGATTTATTCCACAAAATGCACATTTACAGTAGTGATCACAAAACAAGTTTTAACACACAGTCATTCTCCCAACAGGAAAAGCATGATGGGAAGTCATGCTCACACAGAACTACAGTCGGTCTCGGTGAACATGTTGGAGCACAGCCTCTGCTCTGTGTGAGTGCAGACAGGATGAGCTGTGGTGATCTATAATCCATGTTTCTGCCGCGGAGGCACGCTCGCTCTGCCCTAACAGCTCCCAACTGTTCTCCCCTGACAGACTGGTGCTGCTCTGCAACATTACAAGAAGCACTCAGCTCCCAAAATAAGACAGCTTTCAAATGCTCCACACCACCACGCGCACAGGAGGAGTCCTGTCTGCATCGGTGGCATCGCTCACGTCCTCAATGTGTTTTCCTGGAGAAAGATAATTTTGCATCACGTTGAGCTTTCGTGCAAAGAAAAAAAATTGTAACTTAACATTCTGCTCCTGCAAAAATGTTTCTAGTACGAGAGCATCACTCACACAGCTGAGCCGTGTGGGTGTGATTTGATTTAGAGCACATTGTATTTCAGAGACCGTCCTTCCATCTCAGCCCGCAGCCTGAATTATTAATCCCGTGTGTTCAATGAATTTCAAATGCCAAAGTAGTGTTGATGTTATCGAGTTCAGTGTGAGCGAAGCAAATATTGAACTGACTCAAGACACTCGAACATCCTCCTCCTCGAGTCCCATGTGCCATCGTGAGTGAGAGAGCCAGAGGGAGAGACAGTTGCTTTGCAGTGTGGCCGTCATCTGCTTTTCTGTTTACACGCACAAATCGAAGTGAGCGAACACCATTGGGATTCCCAGCGACACGCAGACTCTCGTCCGCTTCAGTGCCGCACGGCGACGGTGCCAGACATTGCACCTCCACCCACCAGAACATGTGCGAGCATTCAGCGGCAGCCAGAGTCCGCGAACAATAACGTGTGAGCGATTGTCTCGGTGCAGCTGGAAAACGCAATGCAATTTTGAGAAATCAAGACAAATGCACAAAGTTGATATTAAAAAGCTGCTGCAGGGCAGGACTTTCTGGTGTCTGCTTCTGTTGTTTGACTCCATTTTCTTTCGTTTCATCTTCACTCCATCCTCTACTCTTCTATCATCTTTGTCTCTCTTAGCTTCAACTAGAACTCATGCACCTTAAGAAGATGGATCATGGCTTTAGACTATGGAGGTTGGAGCGTGGTCTTTCAGTTCGAGCGCATGATTTGTTGAATTCATGTTCAGATTGTGTATTACCTTTTCATCAGAAACCTGCCCTTGCACTAAAATAGCCCCTGTTTAGTATTTAAATGTTCTCTGCTTCTGCTCAAACTGTGTGCTTGCCCTCAGACATATTCACTCACACAGATTTCCTGCGCTCCAGCTTCAGCCCTTCTCTGCACTCGGGCTGCTCTCAGATTTCTTCTTTTTCTCTGCTCTTGGAATTTTTTGTGTTACAACCCTGTCAAAACTCCCCAACCAACAGGATGCCAGGTGTCGTGTTGACCACTGGTCAACCAATGAAATGAATGATATCCCTGCCTTGCTGCGGGCGCATTCGCTTTACTTCAGAGAGTCCTGTGCGGGCAATTCATCCACTCCCACCCTCCACAGCTTTATTATATGGCCTTCCCCTTGTTTTCTCTATGACTTCTTGGAATAAGAGGACAGTATAAAAAAGTCATATCTGAGTGCAAGCACACAGTTTGAGCAGAAGCAGAGATCATTTAAGTGCAAACTAGCTATTTTAGTGCATGGGCAGGGTTTTGATGAAAAGTAAAACACAATCTGAACAATTCAACAAATCATGCTCTCAAACTTAAAGACCACGCTCTTGAAGAAAGATAGGAAACAACCTCCATATTAGAGCCAACAACAGATATGAGAAATGGCTGGGTGATTATTAGATTATTATTTTACGCCATCCGCCAAGTGACATTAACAATGAGGAATATGACCAAAGATAAAATGAAATTGGATCCAGTAGAGAAGAGCGAAAGTACCTATTACTTGTTGATGCTATAACATACTTATGTGTAACAATTTAACCTGTTTTAATCTTCTGGTCAGAGGTCAGAGGTCACTGGACAACAGCTGGCAGAGGTTTCACTGTGTTGGACACTGACGGTCTTGATAGTGTGTATTAGTGTTTTTACACCCAATGTTAAGAAAACAGCATCAGATATGATGATGAGAAAGATGTCCTGACTCAAAATCAACAATGTGACCATGTTCTCATTTCTAATGTTTACACATTTTTATATATTATATAGTTAATTTTTTTTAAGCTTGTACTACATGGGCCGAAATAATAATCACACACAACTGCTCCACACCAGTGAGGTAACAACAGCCAGGCAGCAGGTAACACAGGAAGCAATCCTCTACTCAGTCCCAGGACCAGTGGCGAGTCTGGGATCTCAGCTGGGACTGTTAGAGGACTGTTACTCAGGACACATATTTAAGGAGTCAAGATGAGACCAATCGCAAAGAAACAAAAACACAATAACAAAGTGTAATTAATAGCTACCATCTTCTTTAACAAAGACAAACAAGAAATGGATTTAATAAGAGTTGGATGATCATCAGATCTTTATCAGATTTTAATGTGGACACTGGAGTCAAGGTTTAAATGGAATGATGTTAAAATCACATCTAGATAGAATCCGAACACAAACCAAGGCTTTCGACATGTGATTTAAAAGATATCAGCCATACGTAAGTCTCAGGCAGGTCTCTGTGTAACTTCTGGTGACAGAGGACTCTTTCTAATCTACATTTGGGAGCAGCCAACTGGGATCTTATACTTTTAATCTCGGCTTTGGAAGAGCTGGTAGGAACCTGCTGGGCTCACACGCAGTAAAAAGAAGTGGGACGTAATGACTTTCCAGAAATATCCACGACTTAAAGCAGCATTTTATTTGAAAATGCCAGCTCTGTATCAGCCTAAATCACAACAGAGAACTGCATCCTATCGCCCTGTAGGTTATTCCACAAATGAATTTTCGAATGTGCCAGTTGTAGAGCTACAACACCAAACTGTTTCCCAAACAGAGGAGGAGTTACTCCACAAACCAGCTGTCTGACAGTCAGCTGTGTTTCCTGAGGTGAACTCTTGTGTTGGGTGGAGTCATGGCTCATATGGCTCATTTTGTTTGGGTCAGTTAAAGGACTGATGTTGTTTAGAGTCTGTTCAGGTATGTGCAACAGCATGTCACACAACACTATTCATACCACGTTGTGAATGTTTTCAGCCTCGTGACCAATCAGCCTCTGGGGGCAACAGCACTTCTGCTCATTACTGTACAAATTGCCCCCTGACAGCTGTGCAGGCAGTGTGTGAGTGACATGTACTATGTGCTGCACATATATGCATACATTGAATATGTGTGTGAATGGGTGATTGGCAAAACTGTACTGCAAAGCACTTTGAGTGATCATCAAGAATAGAAAAATGGAATATAAATACAAACCATACTGTTTAACTGGGGACAATCAAAGCCTGATCAAACGTGATTGGTCAAAATAGATGTTGCAGATATTTATATATACAGGTATGGTTATTAGCAGCCTACTGTTTACAATCCACAGATTGTGGATGCTGAACTCCATGACTTCCTCAGTAATTGAATGGGTATCAATGAGGAGGTTATTTAATATTGTCAGTTAGTTTGTACACACAGTGATCATCTCACATTTCTACTGTCTTACACTGATGGATGCCACTGCAGACAAACAGTCACAACAATGGCAAAGCTCCTCCCCAAATTGATTTCCTCAGAGTATACCACAGTGTATACTTTACTATCTTTACCTTTACTACCTTTCTTCTCTATACCAGCTTTTCATGCGAGGTTTCCAATTAAAATCCTGCTTCTGTGATATAACAATCTTCATATTACCATTATAAGATTCTCTCCAGCATCAAAGCCACAGTATATATAAAAACTAAAGAGCTGAACATGCTTGGTGAACTTATTCTGAATAAAACAAGACAATAGAGAAAAAACCTCTTTCAGACACAGGCAAGGTCAGTGGTGGCAGCAATTATAGGGAGGGCAGCCTCCGCTCCTGTGAATTTGAACGTCTCTTTGGGGTTTATAATGATACAACTTTTTCAGCTTCGCCACTGCAGCTCGCCATGTGACCATGGCAACAACAGAAACCAGTGAGGGAAAGAAGAAGCTGATTTTAGTATATCCGAGTTCTCTGAAGGACGAAACAGAAAATACACATCAGGGAAGAGAAACGGTTTTGCAGCAACATCAGCTCAAACATCAGCCATCAGTCTCATTATTTGGTATGGGACCATAAACAGCAAACGAAGGTTGCCATATTAATGATTTCATATCACTGATTATTTTCTTTTTACTGATATTAAGAAACAATCCTCTGTGTTTAACAGTGTGTCAGTGGTGATGTTGCCAGTTGCCAGGCAGCCACCATGGCAGGAACCACTCACTGTCTGAAATCATTTTGAGAGTCTATACAGCAGCAGCTCATCTTAGTTACACATGTCAGCAAGTATCTATCCATCCATCCATCCATCCATCCATCCATCTATCTTGTCGAGTCTTTATTTGCAGCAGCTTAGTTACTGCAGGTCACTTTTACAGTTTCAGAAAGAAAACTGCAACTAGCATCAACACAGGCCAAGTAAACAGCCCATTCTAAACAGGCAGGTTTCGAAAAGGCACTGCACTAGTTGGACAAATTAAAATTCTCAATTGATCATGAAGGTAAATGAAAAGTCCATTTCATGTTTTTCCATTTAACAGTTGTTCAGACCTCTCACAGAAAACCAGAAACAGAAACCTCATGGTGCCATAGTACAAAAGTACAGGGCATCACGTAAGGCCTTAAATATATGAATTTCTGCTTCATTTAAGATTGTCTCATTCATCCAGTCAATATTTGCTGAGATATTTAATTAGTTAACCAACAAACTGACATCATAAGAACATTGCTGCTGGTACTATATGTTTAAAAATATATGACAACAACCACAATCCTGCTTTATCATGCTTTGAATATTCCCTTCTCCAGAGTCGAGCTCACTGAGCAGATCACTTTACTATCTGCATTTACTCTAATATTGATTATACTCGTTGCTTTACTCCAGGCTGATGCACAAACACACAAATGTGGATACACATTGGGAAGCTGAGAGGAGATCACAAGTCTCCCACGCCTTCAGTGCCAACAACATGGAGAGCTAAAGTGAACCTTGCACAGTGTTGCTGGCTGGTGGTTGAACGTGTTGTGTGCAGCTTGTGCAGCTTGTGCAGCTGATGCCGCGATTTCACTTTCCTAGAGGAGGAGCCAGCTTCTGCTCCCATATGCTGAAGACAGAGGGAGCTTGACAAATGGATAGCAATGTTGATAATTATGTTGCTAATGATGACGTCCTTCTGTAAAAGTGTGTGTGCCACATGGGTCTGTGTGCTATGGTTGACTGACCATGTACAAAGCTTGATATACTAGATTGTGTTTTTTTGTTCTGGATGAGAATCCAGTGATTTTTCACAAGATTTCAGATCCTTTTCCACAGTGTACCACACTCTGATAGATAGATAGATAGATAGATAGATAGATAGATAGACATTTGTCCAGAATATCAATACCACTCTTTAAAGCCCATGTGACATGACCCTGATTCAGAAGACAATTCAAGAAAAAAGGTTAGTCTTCCAATGCTGTTTGATTGTTTTTGCTGCATTTGAACTTCAGTGCTCTGCGTCTGCACTCAAATAAACAATGGTTGTGTTTCGATGTCCATCGCTCCGGCTTCAGCTCGTCTCCTCCCGCTCACGCTGCTTCTTTGTGCACGTAAAACGTCTAATCTCAGATTTCTCCTTGCTCTCAGATTTTTCTTCTGCGCTCGGATTTCTTTGTGCAAGAAGTCCCCAAAAAATTCCCTTACCAACATAATGCCAGGCGTAGTGTTGACAAGGGCAAAGGTCCTGCCAAGAGCAGACGTTTCACGTGTGCATGAAGCGGCCTGAGCACAAGGGGAAGAGCTGAAGCTAGAGCATAAT